ATTTCTCCCACAGGAGACTGGACCTGAGAACATAGAAACTTGAAGCTGTCAGCAGACATCGTGTTCTTCTATATGCCTAAAGAAGCAGAGGACACCAATTTGTGGGTTATTTATAAGGCAGGATGAATCCCTCTTTGCCTGGGACACTTCCTATTTACCTCTATTGTCTGTCTCAGTACAATTACTAATAGTGTCTTCTTTTAAAATGTCATGACTTAGAAGCTAAATCATTCAAGACTCTTTAATGGCAAATAATACCAGCTCAGTTTGAAGAGACGCTATCATTCCAGGTCCTATCAGGCAAATCAAGCTATGTGACTTTGAATATTTGGAAGGAGTAGAGTCCAAATTTACTTCCATAAGGGATAAAGTGCCCTTGAATTATTTTTTTCCTTGAATTATGAAGACTTCTATCTCTTATCTTTGATAAGGGTGGAACTACCATCTAAAATTGGGTCTTCTATATGTGTTGCCTTTGCTATTATTGCTGATATGCAGAATGTCTGACTCTCTATATTGATTCTAATGTGATTGATATAAACACTTTGCCAATCCATTTTCTGGTCATACATTTAGTAGCAATCTTTCTGTGTGGGCATCTGATAAGCGACTGTGGCCATCACTGGGGTTTAAGACTTATAATTCACGCCCTCATGCTCCATGTCAACTAAAGTCACCTTCCAGGGAGAAGGAATAAAGCAGTTGCACAAGAAGCACCAGAGCAGAGAGAAAGATATTTTGATCTTCTTGCCGTGCTGCAATCCCTCTCTAGTCGGGTTTCCCCTGAGGAATATGCTACCATTTCCGATCATTTTAATCAATTGATGCTTTATGCTCCTCACAACTTTCTGTAATTTTCAGGACCTAAAATCTCAATGTGACTTAGAATGCAATTCAAAATTAGATGATTCAAATTCCATCTGTGATCAGATCAGTGAATGAAACTCATTTATACCTTTACTAGATGAATATTGAACGTCAGTGTATATTGGGTATTAAGCTTTAGGTCATAAAGTTACTTAGGGAGACATATTCCTATTTCCCCAAAGACATAATTATAGATGTAAAATCCTTCCATTCTGCTTCAAAAGATTTAACAATAAATTACTAAAATATTCAATACTTTCTTTAAGTATCCTGGGTATTCACCTTCTATAGGCTAATAGCCTTCCAAGAATCACTGAAATGAAAATTCTCTGCCCACAATGGATTCTATTCTAAGAAGAAACACTTGGAAACACATGAAAGGATGGGTATTAACCCAAAATTTGTATGCTTGCATATGGTAAGCATACATATGATGTGAATTTATCGTTATTAATGAGCACTTACTTTCTAAACAATTGTTGTATAGTTTCATTGTCTTTCACATCCATGATTGCTGGGCAGACTTGGATGAAAAAAACAATTCTGCTACTGGTCAAACCTCTATGGAGAAGGTGTTTTTTTTTTCCCCAAAAGGTGGGAGCAGAAGTATTACTCCAAGTCCAGGTAGAAGCTTGAGTGTTTTGGAGGCAAGAAATCATTGAGAACATTTTCTGACTCTGATAAGGAAATAGTCCGATTGCTTTTAGTGATCCCTTCCTAAGGGAAGAAGTTGTTCTTTAGATACATGTTAGTTTATCTTTACTGAATACAGTTCTACTGGGAAACCAGAAAAGAACAGAGCAGTGATTTCCCTTCTAGTCCTCAGATGAAGCAGAACAATAATTGGTGTTAGATCAGCACCTGTAGGTCCTGCAGGAACCGAATGAGAATATTTTATATTTAGATTAGGGTTTCCAGGGATACTGATGAAAACCCTGACAAATTTAGATTGATCAATAGAGTTTTGGCAACTGGAAGCCAGTCTTTGGGTTTTGACACAGGCAATATTTTGAGACGTCTGACCCAGAAATCCGTCATCTGTGCTTCTCCTGCTCTGTTTGATTCTCTCCAGATAGAATCTCTGAAGAATCTCTTGCACATCCTCTGCTGCTGCAGAAGATGGAGGAGCTGGGAGAAATTTTTCCTGAAGCGGTCCGCAGAGATGTGAGGCCTGTATATATGATGATAAGTCCCTGCTAATGATCATATTGAGTTAACTGAGGCTGCACATTGATCCAGCACTTTTCATACATTGCTCATTGTATTTTCATAAACATAAGACAAGTATACATAATTACCCTCCTTATAGATGAGAAACTGAAGCAGGGAGAGTTCAAGTAGCCTGTCTAAGGTCATATACAGGAACTAGAAGAGCTAGAATTTGAACTAGAACTCACTAGCTGCAGGGTGTGTGATACAAATTATTTTTTTCTGCCTTTTTTTTTTTGGTTTTTTGAGACAGGGTCTCACTATGTAGTTGAGACTGACCTCACTCACTATGTGAGAACTCACTATGTAGCCCAGGCTGGTCTCGAACTCACAGTGATCCTCCTGCCTCAGCCTCCCAAGTGCTGGGATTACAGGCGTGCACCACCACACCCAGCTTTCTGTTTTTTTCTTGACAGGAGTGGACCTATAGCAGCCCAGTAAGTATGGCTCACAGCAGTGCTCTGTGAACAACTATGCACTAACTGAGCAGTGAGCTTGTGGAGAATGCTTCCTGATTTGCCACAAGGCTAACTCTGAAATGTGCAGTCAGACGTGTGTAAAAGGCTGGTCTTGCACTTTTTCCTTCTTATTTTATCTATTAGATTGAAGTCTAGTGGATCTTGGGAAATGTTCTTAATCTTAGAATTAACTTTTTTCTCTTGGTTGGGGAAGTCATAGATCTCTGTGAATCATATAAAAACTAAAAATAGTCTCCACATAAAAATTCTCACCCACAAAATATTTTCATGGTATCGAAAATTGTTTAGGTTGGTAGAATATTCCAGGGATAAGAGCAGTAGGACTTGGCTATGTTTCTGAACGTTGAATGTTGAGACCATTCATTTTCAAGCAATTCATATGAATGCCTGATTCAGAGAAAAGTGTATTCATATTTTACTATATTATTTGCTTTTGTTTTCTCTCCAGGGGCAAGTTCTCTGCCAGGACTGCAGTGGTTGTGGTTACTCGCTGGCTGCCTGGTAACAGCACAGTCTGTGCATTCCATGGCGGGGCTCCAGGAAGGCAGAGAGTACTGCTGGGGAGCAGGTGTGGGAGCCCCAGGTTTCTGACATGAACCTTACTGATGCTGCGGCTGAAAGACCTCATTGTTACTGCGGCAGACGCTGGGAGGACAAAGGGGCCATTTTCAGAATGGAGGGCTGCCTGTTATTGTTAATTGAATATATTTGGTTATGGTACTAAGTCCGTCAGGGTATTCCAGCATGCCTGTTATGGCGACTTATCTGGGCAGCTTCTCTTAGTATATGAACACCTCATACCCTCGTAAGCATCCTTTATCTGAGTTATGGTGAACAACAAAATGTAATTATAGCAATTTCTTGAGGACTTTACATGCTTTTTTAGTAAAAGTGAAGTACAGAGTATAGGAAAAATGGCATGAATTTTGGTATGATCTTCACATTTAAGGCTCTCTAGAAAAGAATATAATTTAACATGAGATCTTTCCAAAACAACATGGGTTTTGATTTTTTTTTTCACATTTAATGGGCTCTGGAAGAACAATACAATTTCAATTAACATGAAATCCTTCCCTGAGATTGTAGAAATGTAAACAGGACTAATGCTGGAATTGGTGTGTTGAAGTTCTCAGCTAAGGACTAGAAGTATTGATAACCCAGGAGTGAGTGGCTTCCTTGTCTCTGAAGTCATACACTTCCTTGGGTCGTGAGGAGCAAGACAACACTAGAGACAGAGACTTGGTTTCAGTTCCAGTTCTGCCATTAACATCCTGTATAATCTTCAACAGGCAATTACCTCCCTAAGCCTCATCTGTAAAGGAGTTGAGATGTAATGGTCTTACCAGCTCTGAAATACTATTATTTTATGAAAAGACAAGATTTTCTCTCCTCCCCACTCCCTCCCTTTCCTTCTGTGTCCCAGGCCCTCTGTAAGTCGTTCCTGTGTATTCAAATTTATAGCTAAACTCCTTGAAATCTGTGACCCATGGTCCATAGAACTTCTAAATGCACCACAACACTTTGGATACTGCATAGGGATTGTTCCACTGAGAAATGAAGGCAACGCATGGACTTTCTTTTAGATTTCTCCAAATTTTACATTCAGAATCAAGGAAGAAACATTCTTGACTTATTTTATATTTTTGGTGTGACACAAATTCACATAGTGACTGAGACCCGTGTCTTTGAACCTTTTCCTTAAGTGAAATCTAATTCCTTATTTTATTTTTCTTAACAATATCTTTATTATTTTCTTTTACCTGTGAGACACTTGGGCCTGCTTATTATAAGATGACCAGAGAGAGAAGATGTTTACTGAAATATTTACTCATTATTTAAACTATTTCATTTTCATGATCTTAATTTCCCAAATATTAGTTTCCTGCAATATGGCCAGAAAGCATTCTAGAAAGTATACAGCCAAAGCACAGAGTAGAACATTTAGTAAAGAAAAGCCGTGTATTTAGCTTAGCGGTTCAGTGGCCTGCCTTGCAAGTGCAAGGACCTGAGTTCAATCCCCGGTATCAAAAAAAAAAAAAAAAAAAAAAAATAATATAAAAGATAAAATACAACAAATAATTTTAATGTATTTACGTTTTCACAAAATGGGACTAGGAGATCTACTGTATTATAATGTTAACATGCAGCTTGAGGGAGAAATAAAATATGATATTATCGGTATATGTGAACATCACATTAAATATTGGTGCTTTACGTCAAAAGCAAAATAATAATCTTATCACAAAATTTTAATGTATTAGAGGAACGTTGATTTGGAAAGCTGTATAAGGTTTTGTTTCTTCCTACAATAAGTTGGTTCCAATTTTGTGGATGCATTCTCTTAAGAATTAGAATTTCTTGGGGTGGGGATTTAGCTCAGTGGAACTGCACCTGCCTCACAAGCGAAAGGTCAAGAGTTTGATCCTTGGTTAAAAAAAAAGAAAAGAAAAAGAAACAAATTAGAGTTTCTTTTGCATTTTAATTTCTTCTGGAGGTCCACTCATGAAGTCTTGAATAACCTGATGCAAAGGAAGCCATTTATTGATAGATGTTTTCAGAGCTGTAATCCATCTGCAGGAAAAAAAAAATTGTGTAGAATAGGTTATTAAATAAATCGCTGGACTCTGAGGAGGTAAAATATTACAAAAAATTTTTAATATATTTTCTAATTGTTTTTCTTGGTTATTGAGTTTGAAATTAATAAGATTAACCATAATCCTTAGATTTGGGATTAATTAAGAAGGTAAAATACCAAATGTGGAATATACAATGATAGCAATACAAAATAAATTTGAAAAATAATACAATGAGAATAGAGTATGATGTTTGCTAGTAGCGTTTAATGGAGCTACTCCTACAATGTTTTAAAAATTAGTAGTAGTATTTTATTGTTTCTATTTAACTTTAAAATGTAGTTGATTAAACCTACAGTAATAAAATGTTGCTATACAAACAAAATATTTGTTAAATGCAAGCAAACGATTACAAACTCTCCAGTTAAGTCTTCTTTTCATTTTCTTGATTAATTTTTAAAATAAAACATATTTCTATAACAATTATTTCAAGGGCAGATGTTACTTAAAAAGATAATACCAACTATGACCAAAATGAGTTAACCAGGAGTGCTCCCAACACTGTGTCTCAGAAACTCTAGTTGGCTAATGTTCTGGGTGATGATCTGAGAGGAGGATGTAGTTCGTGTTACTTTGTAAACCTAACTTCAGGGATGAATGGGTATCTTGTGGATCCAGGGTTCCACGGATTTTCTAACCGTCAGCTGCTCTGCTTTGAAATATTTCCCTAGTGACTCAGCGTTGTTTCTGACTGATGACATCTCCTATGAATTTAACAGTGAGATCCAGCTATTAGCTTCCTCTCATGGAGAAGCCAGCGGATTTTATCATATGGTAGTAGCTAACTCTACCTTACTGGCTTTTTCTCTGACATGATGGCTGAGCCCACCTTTAAGAGGATGAGCTATACCTGCCACCCAGATTGTACAATGCATTCCCAGAAGAGGATCCCAGCAAAATATCTAGTCATTCGGAAGGGAGTTATCATCCTCTGCTCTAGCACATTCTTTGAAGTGAGAGACACGGGCACAATGGGAGAAGGTCGAAGAGATCTAGGGTCTCTTCTCCAAATGATATTTGATGGAGATCCCTTGTTATTCCACTTTTGGAGTTTTATTTGTTTGGCATCAAACAGTGTATCTAATTCTTGCAAATGTCCCTGGAAATTTTTACCATGTTATCTGCTTTACTGAGGTATTGCAAATTTCTCTGTTAGATTACCTCCCTTTTTCCAGACATTTGGATGAACAGGTCTGGATCAATGGAGGATGGTCATGGGGCAAGGGAGAGTGGAGATGGGAGACAGAAGGCACAGGTTGTCTTGGGGATTGGAGTAAGTTTAGGGAGACTGCAAGGGTAGAAAGGGATACTCATGATACCAGAGAACATTGCTCTGCCTTGAAGTTTTGTCCCTGTTAAAGTCATTTCTCTTATTTTTCAAATTCTCTTTTGCGTATTTCAATTTGGATACTAGATATATATCACAAATTAGATTAAGTTTTATGCCCCTCAGTGGTTTATAATAAACATGCAAAGAGGTGAAATGAAAATTGATGGATTCATGAATTATTATGTTGTCCAGATTATGGTGCTAATGGGTTTTTCATATTGAACCCTGGGGCAATCACTGCCTTAGGAAGGATTGAGGACTAGTTTTCCATTTAAGAATTCTTCTAGAAGAGTCATCTGAGAAGGCATTGCAAGAAAAAATATCCTAAGGAGTATTAACTATGAAGGCTGCAAAGAAAGCAAGGGATTTAACTGAAGACATTGCCTTGGAAAATAAGGACAAGGGGTTTCTCAAAAGACTTTGCCAGGAGTGATAAGGAAGATGAAATATGAAGACCTTGGCTTACCATTGGTTTTCTGTCCTGTTTTCTGCACAGAGATAGAAAGTCTTGAACTCTTCCGATGGAGGTTTGAGTTCATTTATGGATTGTTTGAAGCTGTGGATCTGTTCACTCACCGTATATCCTTGCAGATATAGGCCACCTACAAAAGATGAAAGAAAAAAAAAGGCAAGTGAGAATAGGGGAAAAGTAAGAAGCTGAAAAAATGTTGGAGAAGGTGTTAAATTCTTCTGGTGAAGAAACCCCTAATCCAGATGTCTTATTTTACCGGTGAAGAAATGGAGACTTCCAAAGAGTATATAGTATAAGGTTACACAATAATTAATGATTAGTAGCAAGACTGGTAATAGAATTTGAATTTCCTGGTTTCCATTTGTGCAATCTTCTTACTACATGATCAGCATTTTGTTTTGGGTACCTGTGTGCCAGAACTAGCTTCTTTACCAGAGAACACATTTTGAAATAAAATTTTCAGTGTCAAAGAATGGCACATGTGATATGACATTAGAGGGAAATTAAACATTTTCTGAGACAGAACCATTAAAAGATCCTTTGTAAAGAATAATGAAGCAGTTTCTATCACCAATATATATTTGTCTTGCTTTGCAAATAACCCATAGAGTGTTATGAAAGAGCCATCTTGAATTAGCAATGAGAATAAAGGGCTGATTTTAAATGATAATTTCTTTCCAGCGGTCCTGCGAATTAACATTGGTGGTTATAATGCATATTGCTTGGACTGAATTTTGTTTTCATTATTTAGGGGTGTGTGTGTGTGTGTGTGTTTGTGTGTGTGTGACCTTAGTCTTGTCTGTGGTTTATAATGTCTTGATGCTCTGAGGTAGCCTTAGTCTCCTGCAGAGATGCCACACAGTGTTGGTGATGGTGAAGATAAATGTTTAAAGCTGTCTTCCTCCAGCTTCCTCTGTTCTCACACCCTGATTTCCCCCAGGAACCCTGTAGTGCATTACACTAACAAAGAAAATTTGAAAACACCACTTGGATTTGTGCCACCCTACTCAATGATTATTCAATGCCAATGTGTTTACTGAGGGTTTGTGAAAGGACAAAACTGACCCCTGTGATTGTGACTATTGTGGTTTGTTTCTATTTTTTTGGTACTGGGTACTGAACTCGGGTCCTTGCATTTGCAAGGCAGGCCACCGAACTGCTGAGCTAAATCCCCGGCATATTGTGGTTTATATCTAGATGTCCCTCGAGAGCCTCATGTGCTTATTGGTGGGGCTTCTGGGAGTTGATTGTATAGCAGGCTTGCTGTTAGGAGGCAGGTCTGGTTGGAAGAGGTCAGTAACTGAAGGTGTGGTCCAGAAAGGTCTCTCTTCCTCTCCAGGATCTCCCTTCTCTCTCTCTGTCTCCACCATCCCATGAGCTGCTCTCCTCTGTGCTGCGGTGCTGCCATCCATCTTACCCTGGAGCAGTGGACTGTGGGCAGAAATTGCTGCAAATTGAGCTCAAAAAGACTGTTCCTCTTCAGGGTGTTGGGTATTGTGCCTCAGCGATGAGGAAAGTAAGATGTTGATTTTTGTTTTCCTTTTGGCTTTCACAGCAGCAATATACACCATCTCTGGTAGATGAGAATCTTTTTAAAACAAAATTGACTTTGGGATTTTAAAGATTAGGAAAAAGTCATGTTCATTTTGTGGGAGGTTTGATGAAACCTGAATTTCTTTTTATTTTCATTTAAGAAGAGTCCATTTTAAAACTCTCTTCCATGAAAGCATTTGTTTTAGAAACTGATATGCTTTTGCCTTTAGTAGGTTTCAGTATATGGTGCTTTCCCAAAGCAGGGGGTGATTTCTTTCATATAACTGTATTTATAGATTTACATATGGAGAGATTTAAAATGGCTTTATGGGGCCGGGGATTTAGTTCAGTGGTGTCCCAACCTGCCTCACAATCGAAAGGTCCTGAGTTCAACCCCCAGTACCAAAAAAATAAAATAAATAAATGGCTTTATTGAAATATAATTTACACATCATAAAACACCCATTTAAATGTACATTTCAATACTTTTAGTTTATTTACGGAGTTGGTCATCATCACCATAAGCTCATTTTAGAGCAGTCTCATCACTTCAAAAAGAAATCTCATGTACACTGTATTTTGTGCTGGCTTCTACACTAAGGATAGTGTTTTCAAGGTTTACCTATGTCATATCATACATCAATACTTCAGTTCTTTGTATTGAGGAATTATTTCCCACATGCTACATTATAAAATCATTGGTTGATGGATATTTAATTTTTCTGCAGTTGTTTGGCTATTATAAGTAATGTTGCTATGGACGTTTATGTAGAAGTTTTTTGTCTACGTGTGTATTTTCAGTTCTTTGGGTGTATATTTGAAGTAGAATGGCCAAAGTGCTAGGTGTTTTAGGACAACAGAAGACCTAAAGAGGTATCATAGGGTATTTTTAAATATAAATTATCTGCTCCAAACAATGCTACACAGCATTTATATGTTACTGTATTGATTACTGCGTTGGTTTTTCCCTGTTTGTGAACCTTTTGCTGTTGTTGTTGTTAAGACATGAATACCCTTCCCTGTCTCTACCCTTTCTGATAATAGATAGAAGTTTTTGTCCAAAAAACATCTGCCACAAAAAATGTTTCTGACTGTTTTCCCAATCATTTGTGGGGTATACATGTTTGGAGTAAAGATATCCAGTTATAATCTCATTATTTCACTGGATGTGACTTCACCAGGTCAGTCTGTTTCTATTATGAGGTTAGCAAAGGTAGTGATTAAAACAGCACAATGTTAGTTGCAGAACTCTGCAAGCATTGCATGTCCCACTTGCCGCAATAATGGCAAATATGTGTTTCTGAGATGTGCACGGAGACCTTGATGTGATTTATTCATGAACAATAGTCAATAGTCACGATTTGTTACTGCTAGGTTTTGCTGGAGAGCAATAAAACGGAAAAAGAGTCATCAAGTGTACGGTGAATGACAAGGCCCTTCAGGCACATGTAAAGGCATTTGACTAATGGGGCTTCTGGAATACTTACACAGTGGCTTTTAAGTATTAGCAGGCACATGCAAGCCAACGGTGCATATTCCTCAAGGATATCACTTGCCTTGACTGAGGAAAGCCTTCACGGAACTGAAGAGGCCGTGTCTCCTACTCCCACATTACACTTTAAAGGATATTTATCAGGCTGAAAGTAAAATGTGGGATTAGTAGTGTCTAATAGGATTCATACAGGAAACTAGCACTGTCTTGCTTCCCACATCTTGGTGTATTCTCCTATATTACTTTCATCTTGTTTCCCTGACCTGCTTTATTGTCCTTGGTATCCCTTTAGCTTTTAGGTTACTATAAGAAACAACTCATGCCAACAAAACTACAAACACCTTCAGAAATAGAAAATATCACACGAGACCTCCTAGATCACTAGTGGAAAACAAACCAATGGGTGAAAATAAAAATAAAATTAACAATGTTTAAAAGAGCAAAACAATTGAGATGCTATGGCCAAGACATCAGGTCACAGAAGCCAGGGTCTCAAGAACAAAGCAATGAGTGGCAGACATATTACAAAAATATTTGAAAGGAAGCAACCCTTGCTAGGTACTTCATTTCTAAGATTCAGAACACAAAATTGACTTTGCCCCCATTGGATCCAGGGTCTTCCTGTGTTGCCTAGATCTGTCTGGAACTGTTGGGCTCAAATGATTCTCCTGTCTTAGCTCCTGAGTGCACCTCTGAGTCTGGCCCAAAGCTGACCAGACTGGTACAAAGACCAGTACGAGGACAAATGCAGAGACTGTGTGTCAGTGTTTTCATAACGTTTTCTATCATGATGTAACGATGTAATAAATGCAGATCTACATGGTCTCATATTATTGACCAAAAGTAATGTGAAGTATGAGTGATATTTTCTATTCAATTAAATGCCATTCAGTTGTTTCTGAAATATTCATCACAACAACTATATCCATCACATGACTCGCTAATAGAGCCAACCTGGAGAGTTGAGAAGCACTGGTGTAAAGAGCAGTCCAAGGCCTGCTTAAAGGTTATGACAGGAGACTAAGGAATTAACCCAGGTGGGATGTGTAAGGCCAAGTAGAGCTGGTACACTCCAAGTCAGGGAAGAATGATAGATTAGACCAGTGTAAAGGTCCCTTCCTCAGTGTCACTTAGAAGACCTGACAATTAGAATTAGAACTTGGCATAGTCTTTATGAATGCAATAATGATTCGTGTTCCATGCATGTAAAAAGATTAGATGAAAATGAGTATCACAGTGCTTATAGTATCATAGTTTAGCATTTGTTCAGCTATTCTCAACAAATTCCACTGCTGTTCCCACAATTCTTCCGGTTCCTATGACGAATAGTTAGTTGACTGGTGGACCCTGGCTAATTTAGTCAGTGTGCTGATGTCCAGAATGTGAAGAACAGACACACATCGTTTCTGATCTAGTGCTACCTTAAGGATAGAAATTTCTGCCAGAAGTTACGTACATTGTGGCTAAGAGTTTGGGCACAGGATTCAAACAGAATTCATTCCTGTTTTGCTTCTAAGCCCTCAGTCACCGAGTAACTATTAGCATATGAGTTGTGTTCTCTAAAATTCTTACCTATGATGGGAAAATAACAATGGATATTATGGAAATAAAAGATGAGGGGTATTAAGTATTTATCATAGTCCTTGAAATGGAGAAAGTTCTCAATGCTAACTTTCCTTCTCTAATAGCACTTCTAAGTATATTCTAGTCCTCTGAAAAAAAAGTGGGTCTCCAGGGCATTGATTGTTAGTGGAGAGTGGAAAGGGCATATTCAATTTGAGAATTTCCTGCAGGAGATTTGGCCATGCCTCCATTCTGTCTGGAGTCTCATTATGCTGCATCACCAGTTGTGAGCCTTAGGTTATGATTCAAGGTAACTTGTACAAGAAGCTTCAGCTGGACTCTTAGAAAGGGAATGTAAATCTTGATTTAAAATTCCAATCTGAAGTACTTGGGAAGAGCTCCTGCACAGCCACCTCAACCCTGAAGGAAGCTTAGCAGCTAATGAACCTCAGGGGGACTTCCCTGTGAGCCGAGAAGCAGTCAGAGTGGGAGTGGTGGACACATTGTATGTTTTATTCAGGGAAGAGTAGAATCAGTGAAGACAGTAATAACAACAAAAATCACAGGTTTCTATTTTAGAACACGGCCTAGGCATACATTTCCTGTTGGCAATTCAATAAGGAAAATATTGTTTTAATCCATATTTGGGATAACTGGGCCTACAGTTATCCCAAGGATTTGTGGAGACAGGAATATTTAGGCAGTAAGGCTGAGAAAGAATGAAAGGGCTTATTTTGAAGAGAATTTTAAAAAGAGATAGAAATTAGGTAACTCCTTAAAGCTAGGCAGTGTGATACAACAGAAAGGCCATGCATACAGTGAGCTGAGTGCTAGTTTTGCTTTGAATTAGCTGTGCAGTCTTTAAATCTTTTCCCACTATTAAATGCGTGAAAAGACTCATAATTTTTGGAAATAATGGCCAATCGAGGTTATCAAGGAGATATTTCTTACTTTCTTTATTCATTGATAAATACATAGTCATTTCTGGAACATATGTTTCCCTTGAATAGATAGGTGGCCATCAAGAGATAAAATACTGGGTAGAAAGTGATAGGTAACAGGAAATAGGTAACTTCAGAAGAGTGAGGGTTGTTTATCTAGGACCATCAAGGATTGCTTTAGAGCAGAAACAGAAAGCTTAAAAGGACATTTGAAGGACAGCTTGTACTGGGTGACTGGCATACAGAAGACTTCAGGGAAAGGAGGCAGCACCAGCAAAGGTGCAGAATCAGGAGCAGGTCTAGAAGGCGAGATGTGCTGAGGAAATAGAATATGATGTTCTGCGGTGGAGTACGGGGTGCTTTAGCAAAAGGGGAAACAGAAACCCAGATAAAGGAACTGTAGGAAAGGTAAAGCCCTACAGTGCTTGGCAGGCAAGCAGGAAAGGGTCTGCGTAGAGGTGTGATAAAGGCCCAAAACAGACAAGCCTTCCAGTTTTTCCTACATAGTGATGTCTTCTTTATGTTGGTATAACAGGCTACCTGGGTTTAAATTCCATCTTCACCATTTACTATCCAGAGGAAGTTCAGCCAATTATTTGACCTTGCAAAAGCACCCGTTTCCAAACCTGTAGGTGAAATAATAACTTATTTTCAAGGCTCTTTTAGAAATGAAACAAAATGATAGGTAAAAACACTTAACAGAGAGACTGGTACAAAAACCTCACTCACTGTGTGATAATTGCTGCTTTTACTGTTATTATTTTCAGGCCATTTAATAGCAGCAAGTTGAAGCTGTCTAACTAGGGCTTTCTTACCCTATTACAGCCTGACCTTTTGGAATTGGGGAAGCCACCTGGTGGCTGTCATTACTATTTTTATACTCTCAGAATTGGAAAGAGTCTCTGGGTTCCAGAGGTTTGGAAGTACTTTATTAACATTTTAGAGTTTGGGTAATATGTGCTTTCTATCTTAAAGCATTTCCTTTTTATTTATGGAGACATTCTCCTAAAAATTGCCTTAATTGATTTGCCATTTAAAAGGCTTCAGTCTTTTGTAATGATATTTTATAATAAAAGTCCCAGTCTGTGACTGCTTTGGAAGTTTAATTGTTTTGTTTACCTTAATTCTTATCTTGGTATTAGCTGCTTAAAGCCATGGCTATGGGTAGCATAGATACAACCTGTTCGGTAAATGCTTAGAGTCGCTGTCTGTCTCTTCACATCTGTGTGACAATGTGGAACATGTTTAAAATTGGGAGTGTGACCAAACAGAGAAGAGAAGAGTCACTGCATTATTTACCCTGAGTGAAGAAAACTGGGCAATGAAGTGATGCTAACTTTGTATTTCTGGGAAACTTCCAAAAAAGTCAAAATGGAAACTGGATGCCCCCTTTTCCCTTGGCATGACTAACTAGCTTAACTAAACATAAGCATTAATGCAAAAAAATGGAAATCAAATGACTCAGATGCCAGGATACTTACTACTGCTAATTATTTAAGTAGTATTCCTATGACAAAACTCAATAGCAAATAAAACACCAATAGCTTATTTTGTTGAAATTATAAGAAAGCTAAAATCTATTTTGTGGAAGTCTTGTATAATTATTATTATGTTAAATTATTTGCATAATCATTTTATATATAGCTTCTAAATAGAGTATGTAATTTTAATAAGTACATTAATGTATATATAACGAAATATATGATGAACATACTATGTATCGAGAGCTGTTTATACAGATAGTGTTATGTGCACAGGCTTTTCAGTAGAAATGATTCCTACAACTTCACAACAGTCTTGTCAAATACTCCTCATTTTTAGGAAAGTAAACCACTTGCTCACAGAAAATAGTCAGTGTTCTTTTTATCCAAACTGGAGATCCTCAGGATGGAGTCCCTGTCTAAGAAAACGATTGTCATTGACTCTAAATGCCACTAATGAGTTAAAGAGTGAGGAATTCATATTTTGCTTTCCTAGGAAGCAGAAGTGAGGGGTCAAGGCTACAAGTTTGGGAATTTCCCTGGCTGTGCTCAGACCTCAGCTTCATTGCTTCACTTCATTACTCACCATTTGTCAGTTATGCAGACTTTACAGCCAGACTTCTACTCTGTGAAATGGGACCAGTGATAATATCTCCTTTGGAGGATTGATGAACTGATTTAGATAAAACATATAGCGGAGGGGCCAGTAAAGGCTCAATAAAGCTATTATAGAGCCTACAATTATGTCAAATAGTAATTGCTTACCTGAGGCCTGGGTGGAGGGAATGCTAGCATAGAAATACAAGCAACCACCCTTCAGAACGCAATAGTGCTGGACTCTCGCATCTGTGCTTCTATCCCTCTGGTGCAGGAGACCCAGGTACCCTGGGTTTTCGATAGCTGGGGCGGGAGGCTGCTGTTGTGCACGGTCACATCTTCCCAGATGTGGTTCTGCAGGTGAAGCACAAAGGGATTCTCTGTATGGTCATGGGCACCAAGGGCCCTTGACTTACAGGGCAGGCAGCACTGAGTCTGCTTGACTCTTGGGAGGTCACAGCCCTGAATGTCCTGTTGCTAAAACAGTCTGAATACTTGAGCAGCATGCTCAGAAACCATAATTTACCCATTGTCCACAGAGAACTTTTCTCCCTTTTCAAGCCCATAGGCTTCCCTTCTCTTTGCCTTCTGTTACATTCAGAGGAAATCAAAAGACTATTGGCTAAAGTACAGGGGGGTCCTGTATAGAAAAAAATAAATGGAAATAGACACCTCAGCAAAGACTATTTTTAACATCCCTGTCTGTGAGTGCAGGGCCCACTCTGCCATTTCACTCACTGGAGGAATTGTCCTCCTAGGCCTGTTCCTGGTAAGTCCACCATAAGTAACAGCAGCCCCAGTTCCTGCTTCTGTTTATGTGGAACTCCCATTTGCGCAGATGAACAAGTTAAATGCCCTGGGCCAGCTCGGACCTTAGGCTGTCATGGTCTGAGATGTGGAAGGCTGATGATAAATGGGGACCCTGCACCCTGGAGGGCAGCTCTCCTTCCACAGGCCTGGGAGAGAGGCTTTTCTGAGAACTCTGACCTGAGACTGGAGACGCTGAGCTTTATGTCTTTATCAGAACACCCTGCTTGTTCTTGCCATTTTCTCTTCTTTGTTTGGTTTTATTTTTGCCCTTCAGTCGAAACAAGGAGTAGAAAAGATTTCAGAATGCAGAGCTGGCTCTATTCTTTGCTGTGGGGCGGGATCCTGCTGGGAGTGGGGGTGTTCATTTTTTCACTCTGCTGCAGACACTCTGAGTGCATTAGCAGAGTAGATACCTTTTAAAAATATCCAGGCTCATTAGCATGATGCACTGGAGGGATGGATGAGTGCACCAACTGTTGTGTTACAGATAAAATGAAAAACATGCCTTGCTGTTTGTCGTAGGATGATGCTTATGATTGCTCTGAAAGGGCAGTTACAAAGCAAGGTACATTCATACTCACACAATCTGAATTTTTTCAAATGTATAAGAGTCAAATTATGTAGAGAAGATAACTGATAGTGAAAGCCTTTCTTTGATTTGTAAGCTATTATCTGAAGAAATAAGCATATTTAAAGAAAACCTATAACCTCATTAGAAGTCCTATCCATAGTAAAAAAAAAAAAAAGAAAGAAACCATTGGGTATGAAAACAATTTTCTTTCCAACGGGTTGTAGCACAAACTCAGGAAGAGAACTATCAATTGGCTTAGGGACAGAAATGAGGACTTGCCTGTTGATATTATGAGATTATCCATCAATTTGTAGGCAAATTCTAACTGAAAAACTATATTGCTCCAAAGTTGGCAATAAAGAATGGAAAGGGTTTGTGAAAGTTGTCTTGATATGTCTATAATATAAGGATATGAACATAAAGCACTGTAAATCTGGATCTAATAACTCATTCTCTAATAAACTGCTTAGCCAAAAGCACCATCCCAAGATGTCCCTGAGATCTTGTATTTTTCAAGTAAAAAGAAAGCAGCAGCATTGTTTTATCCTCATGGAAAACTACTGGACTGCTCTGTGAGAAACAGAAATTCCACCCCACTTTGCAACTCCTCATTGAGTCTCACTGGAAGAGATGTCATACAAATCCCCCCCTACATAAAAACAGCAGCCAGAATGTAAGCTGGCCTGCAGGATATAAGTAGAAAATCCTGTTGACTTAAAATCTCCTTTGCCAGCTTTTGAAACAGATCTAAGAAGCCCAGGGTGGACTGCAGGACATCTCATGTGTTCCTTGCACCCTCTAGAAAGAAAAGCTAAAATGAAGACAGAGATAAACAGGTAACCTTACCTGACAGGTGGGATGGGCTGCTTTGTCCATTGCTTCAAGCCAGCTGAGAGACAGGAAGATGAAAGGAGACTGGATAAGTGTCACTCAGAGGAGTTTGTTTTTCCTGAATCCATGGTTTAGACAGAATAGTCTGGAGGCTCAGATGTGCTTCATTGCTCTTAATTCTTGAATGAAGAACAACACATTCTTGCAAAATTAGTGTTACTGTGTGGCAAAACCTTACTTACACCCTCCATATTAAAAAGAAAATACTGATGGACACGTGGAAGGCAGATAAATGGAGAAAATATGGTATTTACTCACCATGCAATATTATTCTCCCATTTAAAAAAATGGAGGAATTTGTAGAAAAATAGATGCACCTTGATACCATATTAAATGAAATAAATCAGACACAAAAACTTACACAGCACATTGTTCCTCTTACATGAGAAACTCAGAGTAAAAATAAAGAGCTAAATAAAAGACAATAGGAAGTAGGGAGATGGCTCTTTCTCAAAGGGAAGGAAATTGAGAGATGGATGGAAGGATGAGAGAGGGAAGAGATAAGGAACTAAAATGTGTTATATCCCTGCACCAAAAAGTAATGTAAACATTACTTACTGCACACATGTACTAATGAACTAAAAAATTAAAACCTGCAAATTAAAAAAAATCTTATAAGTCTCCTTTAGTATAATTTAATTACTTTATTTTACCAAGGTATAGAAATTATTAACATCAGCAGGGCTGATAGCAATTGGTATAATAATTTTAAGGCCCTTTGATCCAGCACACCAAAGAAGACCTGCAGCATCTTGCAAACCTCTGGTAGGCTGGCAAGTTCAGCTCAGCCTGCCAGAGGAGCCCAGCTGTATGGGCACCAACACAGTGGTGTCCCACACCTGAATCCCCTGTGAACAAGAGAAAGAGGGCCTCTCTGAGGCTACTAGATGAAAATTGAAGCCCACTGGAAAAGTGAAGAAAATCTGCAATAACGGTACACCACACCACCATAGTTGGTAAGTCGGGGGAACCAGCACCTCACATCTGAACCTGGTCTAACTTCAGGGGAAAGACAGCTGGAACCTGCAGTAGAAACTTGCAGAGTTCAACTCAGCAGGTGGCCAGAGATCTCAACTTGGACCTTGCAGATAGAAATCAGCTTGAACCTCAGGGGACAGCTGCTGGCTTGCTGAGACTAATTAACTCAGAACTGCACACTCCTGACCATGCTATCTATTGTGTCAACAGAGGCATACGCTGAAGGTCTTCTATTTCTATTTGTATTTTTAATTTTCAAAGTAATATTTTTCTCTTATTGTTAATCATGTAAAATATTTTATGTATCTTTTTATTTTCTCAAATACTTTTTCCATTTTTTATCTTTTTCTCATCATCCTCTCTCTCTCTCTCTCTCTCTCTCTCTCTCTCCCATCTTGATCTCCATTACTCTCCCTTTTTGTTCCTGTTCTTATCCTAATTCAAATTTATTTTCTTTTTGTTCCCTTTCTTCTCTTTTTCCTTCTCTCAATTGCCATTAATTATAAAAGAAGTGGTTACAATCTCTAGCCTCCCTGTTGCTGGTAATTTGTTCTGTTCTTGTGTATATGTTGTTCTGTCTTCTCCTCTTCTCTTCAACAGCTTCCTAGAGTTTGTGTGATCTTCCTGTGTCCTCTGACCTCATTTATAACCTTTTTTTAGCCTATCTATCTATCTTTCCCTTTCTCCCAAAGTCACTCTAAACCCCCATCTTCAAGGGTAAAGTTGTCATAGTAAAGAGAGTTTATTCACTATAAACATATTTTGGGCTGGCCCTTGGTTTGGATTTAATTCACACAGTTAAAGGTGATAGACTAATAACTAGAACAAATTGTCATTTTCTAAGCTGTGCTTGATGTTATTGTGTTGCTGATTGTATCACGTGGGTTAAGTGTTGTGATTGATCTAATCAATTGTCCTCTCTGGCATAGTGAAAATGAGATAGACTCAGAGTCACTAGAGACTCAAAACCTAAAGACCAGCTATATCTGGAAGATCAAAGTATTAACCCAGGAATTAAACCAACAAAAATAGAAATGAAAAGGCATTTAAACAAAACACAAACAGAGACTTCCAACTCACCAAAGGTAAACTCTGGGAGGAATGAGGTGGAAAAAATCTAACAGTCAACCATCTGGACACCCTGAACCAATATCACGAGAAGTTAAAAAAAAAAAAAAAAAACACAGATAAAGAGGCTCTAGAAAAATTAAAAAAAAATATTTCCCAGTTAACCACAGAGATGGTGAGAAGAATGAAAAATATGATTAGAGACTCTAGAAAAGACACAGATAAAAAAAATAGATGAGCTCAGGACCATGATGGAAACCATGAATGTAAAGCATAGGAAAGAAATGGAAACCATGAATGCCCAATATAGGAAAGAAATGGGATCCATGAAACATATTCAAACAGATATCCAGTAGATTAAAAACTATTGAAATCATTCATAGTGGAATTAATGAATGTGAAGATAGAATTTCAGATATAGAAGATAGGATAGTGGTCAGTGACTATGAAAAGAGAGATCTCTTAAAAATAGTATGGAATCATGAGAAATCAATCCAACAACTCTTAGATGATGCAAAAAAGAATAATATAAGACTGGTAGGAATCCATGAAGTAACAGGAGAAAGTACAAATGACAAAACAAACAAACAAAAATGACAAAACAAACAAACAAAAAACTGTTCACAGAATTAATGACAGAAAACTTCCCAAATAGAGCAAAGTGAGGAATATAGGATAAGTGAGGAATATAGGATTCCAACTAGCCATGATAAAAAAAAATCTACACCTAGATATATAATAATCAACATCCCAGAAACACAACAGAACAAAATACTGAAAGCAGTTAGAGAAAAGAAACAAATCACATGCAAAGGAAAGCCCATCAGAATCACAACAGAGTTTTAAACACAAACCCTCAGGTCAAGGAGCACCTGGAGTGAGGTATTTCAAGTCCTAAAAGAAAACAACCTCCAACCTAGACTGATGTATCCTCCAAAACTATCTTTCAAAATTGATGGGGAAATAAGATGCTTCCATGACAAAGAACACCTAAGAAATTTCATGAACATTAACCCTGCACTCCAAACACTTCTAAACAATATCCTGGAAAAATAAAATGATGACCACAACTCCATAAGGGCCAATAGAGCAAATATACCAGGCAGAGCAAGATATTAAAGGGAGAGAGGGAAAAATAAAAAATAAAAAAACCAACAAGAGGAAAGTAACATGACAATGAAAAGTCAATCCATAACAGTTATAACCATCAATGTTAATGGCCTCAATTCACCAATCAAAAGGAACAGGATGGCAGAATGGATTAAGAAGCAAAATCCAACAATATGTTGTATATAAGAAACCCACTTAATCTATAAAGAAATTCATAGACTGAGAGTAAAAGGATGGAAAACAGTTCTCCATGTGACAGGAGCCTGGAAAAAAGTGGGGGTAGCTATCTTATTTGCAGACAGAATAGATTTCAAACCAAAACTAATTAAGAGAGACAAAGAAGGCCACTACATACTTATAAAAGGAACAATAGAAGAGGAAGAAACGACAATCATAAATATATATGCACCAATTACTAATGCCCCCCAACCATACAAAACAAATATTAATGGATATGAAAAATGAAATAAGCACTAATATAATTATAGTGGGGGATCTCAATACTCCAGTGACACAAATAGACAGATCATTTAGACCAAAAAAAAAAAAATCAACAACAAAATAACAGAACTGAACCAAGTCTTAGAACAAACAGACTTAGTAGATGTCTACAGGGTAATTCATCCCACAAAATCAGAATATACATTCTTTTCAGCTGCACAAAGGTCATTCTCCAAAATAGGCCATATGCTAGCTCATAGAACATGCTTAAGTAAAAGCAAAGGAAATGACATTATCCCCTGTATATTATCAGACCATAGTGCAATAAAACTGGAGATCAATACCTAAGAAACCTCAAGAACTTCACAAACACATGGAAATTAACACCCTGCTGAACAAGCATGGGGTCACAAAGGAAATTAAAGAAGAAATTAGATAGTTTCTACAATCAAATGATAATACCAATACAACATACAGGAATCTGTGGGACACAATGAAAGCAGTTCTATGAGGGAAATTCATAGTAGTAAATGCCCAAACTAGGTAAACAGAGTGAGCTCAAATAAACAACCTAATGGTTAACCTTAAACTTCAAGAAAAAGAAGAGCAAGACATTCCAAAAGTTCATACAAGGGAGGAAATTATAAAGATCAGAGCAGAAACTAATGCACTGTAGACTAAGAGAATGATACACAAAAATCAATGAATCAAAGAGATGGTTTTTCAAAAGAATAAATAAAATTGATAAACCCTTAGCCAACTTTATCAACAAAAAAAAAGAGGAAAGAAAAAGCACAAATTCATGTAATTAGGAATGAAAATGGTGAAGTCACAACAGATCCAGCAGAAATCCAGAGGATCATCAATACCTACTTTAAAAACCTGTACTCTAATAAAATGGAAAACACAAGAAATGGACAGATTCCTCAATACATATGAACTTCCAAAGTTGAATGAAGAAGATATAAAACATCTAAATACTTTAATTACATTCAGTTAAATTGAAAATTTAATTAAAACATTAACAACAAAGAAGATCCCAGGTACTGATGACTTCACTGCTGAATTCTACAAGACATTTAGGGAAGAACTATTGCCACTACTCTTTAAACTCTTCATTGAAATTGAAAGGGAAGCAATGCTTCCAAATTCATTCCTAGAAGCAAGAATTACTTTGATTCTAAAACCACAGAAAGACTCAACCAAAAAAGAAAGCTATAGGCCAGTCTCCCTAAAGAACATCAATGAAAAATCTTCAATAAGATACTGACAAATGGAATATAGATGATCATCAAGAAGATCATACACCCTGACCAAGTCAGATTTATTCTAGAGATGCAAGAATGTTTCAACATATGCAAATTAATAAATGTAATACACTATATTAAGAGTCAAGAACAAAAACCATATGATCATCTCAATAGATGTAGAAAAAGCATTCGACAAAATTCAACACCCATCCATAATAAAAACCCTACAGGAAATTGGAATAGATGGTCTTTATCTCAATCTAATAAAGGCTATCTATGAAAATCTAACAGCCAATATAATTCTAAAAGGTCAAAAACTGAAAACCTTCATGCTAAAATCAGGAACACGACAAAGGTGCCCACTATCACCACTCCTGTTCAAAATAGTGCTGGAGACATTAGCCACAGCAATTATATAAGAGAAAGAAATAAGAGCAATAGAGATAGGAAAGGAAGATGTTAAACTGTCAATATTTGCTGATGATATGATACTCTACATAGGAGACCAAAAAATCTCTGCCAAAAGACTTCTAGACTTAATTGACACTTTCAGCAGAGTAGGTGGATACAAGGTCAACACTAAAAAAACAATAGCTTTCTTGTACACAAATACCAGACTCACTGAGAGAGAAATTAGAAAAACAATTCCTTTCACAATAACATCCAAAAAATGAAATATCTAGGAATCAATCTAATGAAGTAGACAAAAGACCTCTATTCTGAGAGCTACAGCACTATGAAAAAGGGATCAAACAGGGTATCATAAAATGGAAAGACATTCCTTGCTCCTGGGTAGGAAGAATTAACAGTGAAAATGGTTATACTTCAAAAAATGCTATATAGATTCAATGCAATCCTGATTGAAATCCCAACAGTATATTTCACAGAACTAGAGAAAACAATCCAAAAAATTGGAACCAGAAGAGACCTAGAAGAGCAAAAATCATTCTAGGACAGAGACAATTCCCAACTTGAAACTATACTACAAAGCTACTGTGATAAAAACAGCATTGCTGGGCATGGCGGTTCATGCCTGTAATCCCAGCACTTGGGAGGCTGAGGCAGGAGGATCTCTGTGAGTTCAAGACCAGCCTGGGCTACATAGTGAGTTCAAGGTCAGTCTCAACTACACAGTGAGACCCTGTCTCAAACAACAGCAACAACAACAACAACAAAAAACAAAACAAAACAAAACAGCATGGTACTGGCAAAGAAGCAGACCCAAGGATCAATGGAACAGATTAGAAGATGCAAAAACAACACCAGGCATGCTCTGCTACCTCATCTTTGATAAAGGAACAAACCATCTTCTTTAAAGGAATGACAACCTCTTTAATAAACGGTGTTGGAAAAAATGGCTTTCAACTGGCCAAAGATTAAAACTAGATCCCTACCTTTCACCGTGCACTAAACTAAAATCCAAGTGGATTAAAGACCTAAATATCAAATCAGAAACACTAAATTTACTGGAAAGTAAGTTAGGTAGAACTCTTGAATACATTGGCATAGTAGAAGACTTTATGAACAGATCCTCAGTAGTTTGAGAACTTGCACAAAGAATCAACAACTGGGATCTCATTGTATTAAAAAGTTTTTGCAGTGCAAGAGAAATCACCAGCAGAGCTACGAGACAGCCTACCATGTGAAAAAAAAATTTTACCAGCTACTCCTCAGACAAAGGACTATTATCTAGAATATATAAAAAATTAAAAAAAAGCAGACCCCCCAATACAAAGACCCAATTAAAAAATGGGCATCTGAAATGAACAGACACTTCTCAGACAAACAAGTAAAAGCAGCAAATAAATATATGAAAAAATCTTCAACATAACTGGTCATTCGAGAGATGAAGATGAAAACAACACTGAGATTTCACTTCACCCCACAAAGAATGGATGCTATCAAGAAATCAACCAATAACAAAAGTTGGCAGGGCTGTGGAAAGAAAGGAACCCTTCTCCATTGTTGGTGGGAGTGCAGGCTGGTGCAACACCGTGAAAATCAATATGGCGATACCTCAAAGAACTGGGATTAGAGGTCCCATTTGACCCAGCTATTCCTTTCCTGGACATCTTTCCAAAAGAATTAAAAGAATCATACCACAGTGATATATATGCACTCATGTTTAAAGTGGCACAGTTTGTAATAGCTAAAACTTGGAAACGACCCAAATGCCCACCTGATAAAGAAGATGTGGTTTTTCTATAAAATGGAGTACTACTCAGCCATAAAGAATGAGAAACTAGAGTCATTCATAGGAAAATAGATGCATATGGAGGCCAAACTCTTAAGTGAAATAAATAGGAGACACAAGTAAATACTGAATAGTTTCTCTGGTGTGAAAAACAAAAAATGTAAATAAGTTTTAAATGGTATAATGGAGAGTGTGAAATAGGAAGATAATGGCTAAAGGGGAAGTGGGAAGGGGAGGGAAAAGGAAATAAGGGGAAAGAAAAAATGTGAAAAAATGTGAACAAAGTCTTTGTAAAGAGGGAAGAGTGAAGGGGTGAAGGGAGGACAGGGGTGTGGGGAAAAAACAAGAACCAAGACATATTATATAAAGGTACAAGATCCCAATGATAAAAGTAACTGTATTGTTTTCTTTAAATGTACCAATAAACTTAATGAGGTAAAAATAAGTCTAAGGCACTGGCTTTAAAACATTGAAGAACAGATCAATGGTCTCTGTCCTGAGACCTTTCCCAAGTCCCAGTGGCTCCTGAAAGACTGAATTTTCTTTATCTTGTCTCAGCCACGAACCAGCTTATCCATGCCATTCTATCTTGCCAATCTTTTTCAATTTTCTTTTAAATTTCCTAACTCCTGGTCAGATCATGCTGTTTGCTGTTCTTCCCAAAGCTTGATTTATTTCCTCTGCCCTCTTATGTTCCATTTCTTTTTTGTGTGCTTATCCAGTTCAATGGCGTATCTTTCAGAAACAACTCCCTTATCCCGGCATCCAAAACTCCCCTTCTTAGTCTCAATTCCTGTGACACTTTTTCTTCTCCTGGAACACTTCTCAACTTTTATTTTGCATTCAAAATATGGAAATAAATGCTCTATCTTCTTAGAGTTTTTCTTTAAGGTAAGGACTGGCTCTTCATCATATTAAGAATCCATGAAATTTTTAAAACACTGTGTTAGGCATATTCCACTTACACAGAAAATGTTTTGTGCAGGCATTGAGATATTATCAAATTGTGATCGTCATATTTTCTTGCTTGTCCTTTAAAGCAATATGCAATTGAATACGTAATTTTCTACGTGAAGGAGAGTATATTGTTTACCTCAAAGGTTTCATCCCTGTTCTTTCTTTTGGTGTTGGAGTGGGGTCCAAATTCTTTGAAAGAGATATGCTATGGCCACTATATACTGTAGACAGTTTATCTTTTTGTCATGACGTCGCCCACTCCATCACTCCTCTCGCTCCAAATTCACAGCACTTGCTCTATTTTCCAGTTGACTCGCTGGATTGACCAATGATTTCCATTCCCTTTGGAGACACACTGAGTAATGGCAGTGGTGGCTGTGGTAAAAGTTCATAGCCCACTGTCGTAGAATGCATGCATATTTCTTCCCCTCCATTTGGGTTATATGGTAACCAGCTACATTCATTTGTCCTCAAAGTTCCTTTCCTTCCTTCTTTTCTTTTCTTCTCTTTCTTTCCATCCATCTTACTCCCTCCTTCCTTCCTTCTTTATTCTTCACCTTCTCACTGTAGTTTATTAAGTTGCAGTCTTGCTACAATATTTTTATACCAAAGACTGTCAAATTAGCCTAAAGTATATAAATCAGGCAAGGGGATGCTAGATATATACTTTGGCAGTGTGGAGCATTTTTAGAAAATATGGAAATAAAGCATTTGAGTTAGAAGAATCTGCCAATGTGTTTTTGAAATTCATCTAGAAAAAAACTGAAGGAATAATGAAGAACCAAACTTCTTGTACCTAAGAAAAAATGATTTATCAACTCATGTCACAAATTTGTCATTCCCTTTCCTGCTTCTAATCCCAAGAATTTGTAAGGCTGCTGCTAAAGAAGCATTTGCCTATGCAAAATAAAACTGGTGAGGTAAAAGATCAATGAATTATTAAAGTAAAACTGTTGAAGCAAAAGATTAATGAATTACCTTTTCATTTCTTGGCTTGAGGTTGCACATAGGCAAAAACTTCTACTTCCAGACTGAGGGATACAGTTAAACACAAATGGTTTTCCCAAGCTGCTACCAACAGAAATTTCAGCACCTTCTAATTTTATTGCTTCTTGAGGTGGTAATTTCCCTTCATCCTGCAATTGATAAGGAAGCTGTTCAGTATTGGTTCTATAACTAAATAGATAAAGGAAAAAATAAGAGAAAAATAATATTAAAGTGATTTTTCGGTTTCAATATGACAGTAACATACAGAGGGTTTTGTAGATTATATTCTTCGTTACATATTCCATGGAACTCCAAATTTTTCACCTGTGATATTTTTTCACATCACTTGTAAATAGCCTCTATTATTATACATTTCATTTATGCTAACTTGTGAAAAATCTCTGATTATTTTTTAAAGTATCATTGATTATTAATGCTCATTTTCCCATCTGAATAAAAGAATATTAAAGAAACTGATATCAGAAAATATACATGGTGTGTAGTGACACAGTATCTTTAGCTGATACCTACATTTATCGCGTATTTCTTATTTCTGGTGTGGCAGGCCCTATCCTAAATCCCATCTACTAACACCCATCTATTAAAGGCTACTCATGAGGTAAGTATTCTCATTTTGACACAGTAGGAAACCATAGCATGGAGAGACTAAAGAGCAGTACTTTAACATACTGTAATATGTTTGTAAAATTAGAATCACCTTCAAGGTAAATATAGGTATATTTTTATTTTTTTTCTCCATTTTGTCCATGATTTATGTCTGGTCTAAAAAGACCTTCACTGAAATATAGTTTATGTAGCAGAAAGTTACTCACTGAATGCATACGACTCAGTGAGTTTTAGTAAATTTATAGAAATCATTGCCATAGTCGAGTTTTAAAACTTTTCCATTATCCCCAAATCTCCTTCTTATCCATCTGAGTCAATTGTATTGCTTCCCCTCTATGTTTTCTGTGTTACATATGTACCATTTCTGGACATTTGATGGTCTCATAAAATATGTAGTCTTTTGTGGCTGGCTTCTTTCACTTGGTGTACTGCTTTCAAGTTTCTTCTATTTTGTAGCACTTAGTAGTACTTCATTCTTTTTTGTTCTAGTATATTCTAGTGTATTGGTATACCACATTTTGTCTTTACATGCACAGGTTGGTGACACTCCCCGCTTTGAGGCATTTATTCATGTATTTATTTGCTTACTTATGGTTTTTGAGGTACAGCTTCACTACGTAGTTCAGGCTGCCTTGAACTCACTAAATAGCTGAGGCTGAGGCTAGCTTCAAACTCATAGCAGTCTTCCCGCCTCAGCCTTCTAAGTTTGAGATCACAGGTGAGTTATTTTGACCAAAACTGCTAAGAACATTTGTGCACATGTTTTTGACATATATTTGCATTTCTTTTAGTAGATCGCTAAGATTTAAAAATTGGAATCATATTGTTTATCTTCAACTTTATAAGAAACTGCCAAGCTGTTTTCTAAAGTGGTTGCACACACTGAGCTTTCCCACCAGCATCATATTAATTTTCCAGATTCTCCACAGCTCTGCAATTTTTGGTAATGGTTGTATTTTTGGTAGCAGTGAATGCACAGTGGTATCTCATTTGGTTTTCATTTGTCATTAGGGTTGGGTTTGCCTAATGACAGGTGATGGAGGGCACCATGTATTGTGTTTATTAACTATGACATGTTTTCTTTGGGAAATGTCTCTTCTTTCATGGGACATTGTTCTAAACAAATATTTATTTAAAATAAATATATGTCATTTCTTTTGTGTGAGAAAAAATTTTCTGTGCAATCAAATGTTAAGTGAAATAGGATACTGGTTAGCAACAATAAGCCTGTATTGTACACATGACTGGACACCTAATACATTCTTATTGAACAACAAGTGTGTGCATTTTGAATCTCAGAATCTTAGATCACCTATTGTGTCTACCTGTATATACATGTATGTGTCACTAACAGATATGTCTCTAGTTTAAAGGTGACTAACTCATTTTAGGTAATGAAACTCTTTGAGGCAGTGAGGAAAATTACGGATCCTCTTTCCTTCCAAACATACATGTGCTTATTTATGCATGTATATATACGTATTTGTAAATAGTACCTTGCAACTCAGGTGGATGGATCAGATATTTTTCAACCAAAGTAACATCTCAGAGTTATATGACAATTTAATGGATTGTATCTTTTCTAATCTTCACAACTAGTTTATAAAATAGAAAGCCAGTACTATCCCCCCATTCTAGATGGAAAACTGAGGTTCAATGAACTGCCCAAGCATTACATAGACAAAAAGGGAGTAAGAACTTATGTCCTGGTTTTCTGGTTTTGTTGTCTCACATCATGGCTATCAAATGTCCAGCTTCTTGAGTCACTGAGTGTTGAGGGACTGTTGGTTCTACGAGTTGGCAGTTAATGGTTACGTTATCAACATTCATGATTCCGAGTAACACTTGATATTATTAATATTACTAAAACAGAGACAGAAATCTAAAATTTTTATCTGCTTTAGTAAATATCAAGCAGGTAAAACATTGTGTAATAATTGTGTGTGACCAAAAATATGACATTGGAAACAAAAAGAATATATTTTCACTTGTTTTAATAAGGAAAAAGATTTACGTGCCAAAACAGGGTTGTTAATGAAATCATTTTCCCAGAAAATCTTCAGGGACAACAAGAAACAGGCAACTATGAATAAGGTTGAGAGATTTTTTTTCTGTGTATAAATGATAGGTGTGGTGTGTTCATTTGTTAAGAGCAAATACCTGCTTTGTCTGCATTCTGTGCACCCACTGTACAGACAAGGTGATAAGCTGGTCTCAGTGGCAGGGCTGGAAGGCCACTCTGGGACTGCAGCTTTCTACATCCTTTGCCATAGGGGAGAGCAAAGGAGTTCACACATATGGCACACGACACACAGCCAAGAATAGCATTTGTCACGTGAATACCGCTCAAGCCTACTCAAGTTGCATCCGCTTGAGAACACTGAATGGTTGCTGAATGGACCGAAGTTAAAAATGAGAGTGATTATCTTTTCCACGGTCTCCATTGTGGCCCAGATTCCAGTGTTACTGACCTCAACCGCTGCACCACTGCCTGTGGTGGCCCAGGGAGCAGCTGCAGTAAACTGCGGTCTCAGGGCCTGGGCAGCAGGCAGGCGCTTGCCCATCCACTGTTTCCTCTCGGTTCACCAGCCCAGGCACCTTTACGCCACACTCATGTGGCGATGCAGAGGTTGGCAAAGGTTCTTCATTTAGCCTAATCCCGATGATGTCTGGACCACGGTACCACATTTCCCAATTAAATGTTTTCCGGAGATAAGGGACAACAAGAGTCCCTCTTGTGTTTCACTGCCATGCCCTTGGGGACATTTATCTCCACTCTTAAGCAGAACTCAATCCCTTGATTTGGCAGTGATTCTTAAATTGTTTCTGTTTGATTCTCTCCCCACAGCTCTGCCATGTTCTCTCTTACATCAGGGCTGAGGTGAATGAAAATTTCGTTAAGACTTTGGTTTCCCACAGCTTTACGTTCTCCTTTCCATGGCACAGAAATTCTCCGGCTTCGTTTCATTATTCTTGAGCCAATTCCTAGATCCAGCTGCTCTGTGTGTGCAGGGCAGATTAAAGTGGCAGGGGTGCTGAAGGGATTTATGAAGGACCTTCCCAGTGATACCCAGAAGCCCTGTATGCCAGATGGCTTGGGATACTATTGACATTGTCTATCCTGGAAATATTTCTAAAGAAATAATAGCAAAGGTCAGAATGCTTAGAAAGGAGAAATAGTAAGCAATAACAATGACATAAACTCAACCCACAGTGAACCCACTTCTAAATTAATTATTTTAGTAGAAAACAATGTAGACAAGGGCATCCGTTCCTTTCTGCAACTTGGCTCTGGTAGAATAAAATTATGTACCAGCGTTTTCTCTGTTTTTGTTTTTGTTTTGTTTTGCATTATTTGCTTTAGTCAAATTTTGTTTGAATATGCTAAAATGTTTTTGTTCTTAGCCTTTCTGGTCTAAAAAAGGTAAAATCCTGGAACACTATACCACTATACTTCATTTTATCTGAGTACAGCCTTGAAAGTCCATAAACTAAGGAGGCGGAGAAAGATCTCTTTAGGCAGGAGAATGAGTGAATTCTCAGTGGGGAAAACAGAGTGAAGATAAATTTATAGGGAAATAAAGCATGTCCTAAAGCAAAATACCACATGAAAGGGTGCATGAAATACACAGGTAGGAGACTATTGAAAACTGAGAGTTTGAGGCCAAATCGAGGGATGAGTGTCCCTCTGAGCCGTATTAGTGATGCTGAGAGCCCTTCAACAAGAGGTGGCGGCTTGCAGGCATCACTGTACTTTCAGTGCCCGAATATGTCACTCATCGGATTGATGGTCTGTGTCCATGCCACAGCTGATAGGGTCAGGAGAGAGGCAAAGCCAGTGTGGAGGGAAAGAAGGGAGATGCAGGAGCGTTTCCACTATTATGACCTTTGCTACCTTTGTCCTATGAATAGATAGAAGTCTTGATTCTCTCGGGACCTCGTTCTCCTCTCCACACCACTCAAGATCATTTATGTGTGGGTGTCCTTATGCACATATGCATTTATTTACTCGTGCACACCCCTTGGGGCTGGTAAGAAAGGACAGGAAAAGAGTATAGAAAGCAAACTGAGATCGCAATGCAGAGCCTTGTTCACTGGTAATTTGGATTCCTTGTCTAAACTTTGTGAATTTGATGCCTCTCTTTTTTACCCTACTGAAGAAAAAGGACAAGAAAAAAGAGAGATAGAGAATAGAAGGAAAAATATCGAAACAGAGCTTTCCTAAATAAGGAAGGGAAATAAGGAGGGAAATAAGGGCTGAAGGGAAGGGAAGGGAATGGGAAAAACAGAAGAAGCAAGATATATGATGTGTAGGTACAAATTCCCTATGATGAAGGCTATCATTATGTATATCTAAAAGGTACCAATAAATGTTTTGCTTAACGACAACAACAACAACAACAAGAAAGGAGTTGAGCTGAAGGCAATTTCATCGTCCCCAAATTTGCAGCAACTCATTAGTCTGAACAGAAGAACAGAAACAAAATACTTCCTCCTTAAATATGGCGTGGCTTTTATAAAG